GGCTAGAGGTGGCAGTAACTCAAAACACATAGACGATTAGCAGTGGGCACAGGCTAAGCTACTACTAACGTGTGCCGATTCTGTTTTATGATATGCAGTGTGAAACCATCTTTAAACCAGAACACAAATGTATCTGCCTCAGTTCCCTTCTCCTCTGCAAACAGTAGGCAGGGGATGGCTCACAGATGGCCTCATAGCTGACTGACCACACACCTGTCCGTGCCCTGCCTCCCAGTGATTTTGTGTCTGCGATTCTATTTTACAGGTTCCAGAAGGGGGTTATTTAGCAGCCCTTTCCCAAGCATCCTCTGGTCATTTGCTTTCCTGATGAACCCTTGATTTCCAAAGCCAGCTACAAAGGGAGGAAAAGGTTAGAACAACATCTCACTCTACTCATTCCCCAAAGGGGTTCTAGTCCCTGAGGGAGAGCTGTTGTTCTCTGGTGTAATTTGGCATCAACCATTTGCAAGCAACAGCAAGGTTTGGGCCAACCAAGGGTTTGTTGCAGGTCTCTGGTTGGGGTTTGGTATCCCTTCCCCCATCAGCCCACCCATGAGCCAGGCTTGCAAATGAGTGCCATGCTGGACAAGTGCAGTGATCCTTGGCACCTGAGGAGTTGTGCGACCCTTGGCATCTGATGAGTTGTTTAGTAGAAAATTTGGCATTTTAAATCTAATATAAAGTAACCCAGAGGGGGAAATTCCATGACTTTATGAATTTCATCTCAATGTATGCTGCAAAAAAAAAATCAATCAAGTATTACCTACCCGTGGTCAGTGTCTGAGTTAGGTGTTTTCAGGTGACTTATGGGTTCCTATTGCTGTGATGAAGACCATGACAACCTTAGTTACAGTTATTGCTGTGATGAAACACCATGACCAAAAGTAACTTGGAGAGGAAGGCGTTTATTGGGCTTACACATCCACAACACTGTTCATCATTGAAGGAAGTCATGTCAGGAGCTCAAAGGGGGCAGGAAACTTGAGGCAGGAATTGATGCAGAGGCTATGAAGGGGTGCAGTTTACTTATAGCATACAGGATTACCAGCCCAGAGATGGCACCATCCACAATGGACTGGTATCTTCCCTATCAATCACTAATTAAAAAAGTGATCTATAGCCGATCTAAAGGAAGCATTTCTCAACGGAGGCTCTCTCCTCTCTCATGATTCTAGCTTATGTCAAGGGGACAGAAAGCTAGCCAACACAATGACCATGAGCAACTTGGGAGGAAAGAGTTTATTTCATCGTACAGAACGGAAGACAGGACAGAAAGGACTCTACTGTCAGGATTGACAGCAAATCATGACAAGTGACAATACTTGTGGTCCCTGACTATTGTTTGGGGCTTCCTTTTATGGAGTTCAAGAGGAGAAGGCATTGGTTGCTAAGGGGCATAGAGTGGGCAGTTCTCTGTTTTAATGAATAGATTTGGATTATGGAAGCTTTTGCATGGTGCTCATTGCCCTTCCCATAGTACATCTGCTATAAACATGTGCTTCCAACTATACGGAGGCATAAGATAATAAAGAGGGGATTTCCCCTACAAGTTCATGTGAGGACATAGTTATGCTTATTGTTCATGTACCCCCAAATAGTTCAGCCTGGGCTGAACCCTGCCTCCTGTACCCAGGCATAACTGGGACCATATTTGCATAGAACCTGATCAATAGGGGAGGAAAAGACTGTACACGCTGCTCAAAACAGGTTTGGGTCTGTAGGTTGCTAACAGGCTTCCAAGGGCATTATTAGAAAAGGTCTCTCTCTCTCTCTCTCTCTCTCTCTCTCTCTCTCTCTCTCTCTTTCTTTCTCTCCGTGTGTGTGTGTGTTGCCCAAACCAAGTAGAGTCCCAGTAACAGAACTATTCTCTACTTTTCCCTGCCCCGCAAAGATGCTGTTATGAATAAATACACCTAGGATTCCTGGCATAGGAGCCTTAAATTCACACTGAGATTCAAGATCAGTGTTCAGTTCAGAAGACAAGGACTCAAAGCCTTGTTTCCTCTATATTAGCTTTTAACCAAGACAAGCTGCTTGACTTCTATGCACAATCTCATTGTGTACTGGAGCTGGATTATTTTAGCTGGGTCACCTGGTGTTCACATCTTCTTCCAAGCATGGATCCACTGCTGTTGCATTAGTTGTGGCATGAGTCTTGACCTCAGAGGAATCAGCAAATCAGCATCCCCCCCCCCACCAGAGTTTCTAAGCATTTACTGGCACACCATTCCTGTATTTGTGCAGTGGGGCTTGTTATGTGTCCTTGACTAAGAGGGGATGAATGGAGAGAGTTTGTGGGAGGCACGAAGCACAAGTGACAGCCCTTACTATATCGGCATCTCTCTGTCATTCTCTCAAAGTCACTCTCTCTCTCTGTTATAACTGGAGGTTTCTCTCCCACCCGATAGTTCCTAAATAACCACTCTGAGGCTTAATATTAATTACAAACTGTTTGGCCTACTAGCTCAGGCTTATTATTAACTGGCTTTTACAACTTAAATTAACCCATTTCTATTATTCTATATTTTACCATGAGGCTCACAGCTTGTTACCTCACACCTTGCTCCCCTTTTGGCTGCTGGCATCTCCCAGGCTCCACCTTCTTTTTCTCTTTATGTTTGCTTGGATTTCCTGCCTAGCTATATTCTGCCCTGCCATAGGCCAAAGCAGCTTCTTTATGAACCAATGGTCATAAAACATATTCATAGCACAGAGAAGGCTATACCACATCACTCTGTGATGACCTGTAAGTTATATTGTTGAGATTACTCTTTGTAGAAGCTGGTTTCATTCACTGTCACGTAGCTTTGCATAGCTGCTTATCCTCCTGGTATCTTTTCTGCTCCGGGGCATATCTGGCAACAGTGCCGCCTGTCTTCTTAGCCTGAAATGTAAATTACATAGCCGGATGAGCTGGCCCAGATGAGAAGGCTGTGTTGGCATTTGCACAGCCTCTTGCCGTGTGCCTTATAGTGCCTTGCTGACTCTGTCCTGGTTTGGGTCAGAGATGTGCTGGCTGAGGATTATCTTTTCAGTAGCAAGGCCTCAGCTTGAAATCTTTGGGGGTTTAATACTCGACACATGGTCTTTAACAGCAGCGAGAAAATCCTCGATGGAAGTGTGTATCTTTGGGAAAAGAAACACTGGTTTGGCTTTTTCAAAAAAAAAAATGTAGCTGTGATTGTCAGAAGTTGGCCTGACTTCCAATTCTGGTTCTTTGAGGGCAGCCAGAAGATTGAGTGACAACAAGGAGGTCTAGTCCCTTCTGTAAAGACCCCAGCCCTCTTCAGTTCCAAGAATACTCCACTGGTAAATTGCTATGATGCCGGGAACAGTGCCCTTGCTCTCTCCTGATAGCCATATGGCACACCTGGGATCCAGCCAGGCACTGCACTCAAGCCAGCTCCCCCACTGCCAGCACAGGGCCTTCTCTATTAATCTGTATGGGGGCCACCAAGGCCTCATGATGATGCATTGTTTGGGTCATACCCCATAGGCTTTGGGATCTTTCTCAGAAGCCCTCTGCTTTCTCACAAAGGACCAAGCCTCCTCCTTAGGGCCCAGTTTTTCATGTCATGTGATCTCAGAATGTTGGAGGACCTCCTGGAGGCTGTTCTATACCTTCCAATCTGGTGGAATTAAGGCTGGGTTCCATGTGACTCTGGATTTAGGGATGGTTTAATTATTAGGGTCCCATTCTTCATTTAGCAAGATAGTTTCCTTTGCAAAGACATCTGAGAAGTTACCACGTACTCTTAGGTTTAGATTTATATAGGTGAGCTTTGAAGTTATGCTTCACGCTCGCTAGGCACGAAGCATACTAACCGAGATAGTCCTCAGGCCAATTAAATGGTTTTTACATTGCTTCAGGAAATAACCGTTGCAAAACACCCTGGATCCTAAGGCTACCAACTAAAGGACTAGCTTTCAAATGAAAAGACTCATTTCCTTACTTTTTAGGATTCAAAACTCAAATTAAAAGAAAAAGAAACTTTTTAAGTGAGTTCTTTGTCTCTGAGACCTCCTTGGTTCACCTTTACCTGCCCATCTAACTCTGGACAGCCATTTTCCCGAAGCTGGTGACACTTTCCTACCAGTATCAGTCTGACGTGGGGCTGTTGACTTGGTGGCTGAGAGTGGTGGACACTGAGTCACAGTGGCCCTGTGAGTGGGGGGCATGTGGCAGGTGGCTAGTGCCTCAAGGCTGAGCAGGGTGGGAGAAGGTTCACCAACTTGACTTTGAATCCTGGTTCCATTGATTCTCAGCCATATGACCTCAGGGTAGCTCCCCTCCTGAGCTGTCTTCTTCTTCTTCATTTTTTTAAAAAAAATATTTATTTATTTATTTATTTATTATGTATACAGTATTCTGTCTGTGTGTCTGCCTGAAGGCCAGAAGAGGGCATCAGACCTCTTTACAGATGGTTGTGAGCCACCATGTGGTTGCCGGGAATTGAACTCAGGACCTTTGGAAGAGCAGGCAATGCTCTTAACCACTGAGTCATCTCTCCAGCCTCCTGAGCTGTATTCTGTCTGCAGAACTGTAAAACAAGCTCTACTGTCCCGGCTACCCAAAGGGCTGATGTGAGAATTTCATGGGAGAATCCTCTAAAACACAGGTTTTACCTATGCGGGACCGTTATCCAGTAAATAAAGAGGTGCCTTCAGCATTCAGCTGGCAAAGGCTGAGGCCTTGGCTCTTCCTTCCTCTGGATATGTATGTCTTTGTTTTCTGGTGGGTTTTCAAGATCTAGAAAAGGATATGCAGGCCACATAAAGGACAGGACAGGAAACCTGATGGCCCGTCAGTGAGGGAAGAGCTGAAAACACAGGTTAAGAAAGCACAGGTTCTAAGCTGACCTCTTAGGACTCAAGGTCAAGCACTCTCAAAGTGCCTGGAGGAGCTAGAACATTGGTGTGCAGATGTCCAAGCTCGACCTGCTTGGATTCTTCTTCCATAGCAGAGAGAACATTTGCCTTTAAACAGACGGCAGGCCAGATAAGACACAACTGAACAGTATTCAAACCCATATAAAACTCAATTTTAAAAGTCACATAAATAATACAATACATATTTCGGCATTCATGGCAGATAATACAGCAAATGGTGGTGGGGGCACACATTAATTTAAAGTTTCACTGAGGACAATGACCTGACCTTTTGTACCCACGTGCTATAAAGAAGGGAAGGAGGAAGAAGAACCAAGCTGTTTCTTGGAGCAGTGGCCTTTAAAGTTTCCTTCTCACACCAATGTATTCCCTAGAGATGTTGTGCTGGAGCCACAAGAGAAACACTACTCAAAACTGGTGAAGTTTGGATAGAATGTAGCCAATGCCTCTGAGAATTTCATGGAAATGTCAGCCAACTATGAAAAGTTAAGGAGAGACTGACCTGAAGGCCTGGGTTTGGGTAAACTAAGCAAGCAGAGCTGTCATTGGCGACATGTAATCAAGGTGACATGTAATCAACGAGGTCGTTGTGACCAGGGCCTGAAAGATGTGTCTAGACTCTAGCCTGAAAATGGTTTATGTTTGGGAGAGGGTCTCAGTATGGTGTCCTGACTGGCCGTGGACTCACAGAGATCTGCCTGCTTCTGCCTCCTGAGTGCTGGGATTAAAGATGCGTGGGCTACACCTAGCCTCCCATCTAGGTTCCAAACAGTAGAGTCCAGGACAGCAGAGGAGTAACCACCACTGTGCTCACTGCGATCATTTAACAATGGTGTCTGCATACAGCTTTCCAAACTAAGTTCTTTGTGATGGGAGCCAGAACTTCCAAATGCCTAAAGCATTTCTGGGCTAAGTTGAGTCCCAGAAATTGAGCTTGAAGGCTCATGAACCCACATCTCTAAGGAGAGGCTGAAAGAAACCTCCAGAAGGTTCCTCTGGCTCAGGACTGTGGCCTCCAGCCAGGACTGTCTCCTGACTCCTGGGATTGCAGAACTCTCACTTCCCAGGTGGCTTTGTTGGGAAACAAAGCAACAGCTGAGACTTAAAGCGCTCTGGGCTCCAGCCAGGTCCCTGGAGAGTGCCGCCTCGGAGGTTGGCAGAGTTCAGGCAGAGCCCTTCCTCTGTCTGTGTGGTTTGAATTCATGTGGAAGGAGAAAGGCTGTGCGTGAACAGAAGAAAACATCTCCCTTTTGCTCTGGTGCTGCGTCCCACCTACTCAAAACCCACTCATTCCCTCTTGCTGGAAAACCAGAATGTGACATTCAGGCAGCTGCCAAGGACTGGAGCAGGGCAAGGATGACTAGCAAAAAAGCAGCCTCCAAGAAGCTGTTGTCGCCTCGGGATGAAGCTGAAGCTGGTTAGGGAAAATGCCAAGAATCGTAGACACAGACTCCACACCCAGAGCTCCGCTGAGGGGACGGCCACTTCTCATCACGCAGAGCAGCCAGGGCTCTAGAGGCAGCCAGTCATTAGTTCACAGAACTTCAGCATGGTGGGCTCCAGGAACAGGCCTGCCCTCCTTTCCTTACCGTGGTTGGGATGGAGGCCTGAGATTGGATTCTGAATCCTGTCAGGGGTGCTTTTGTCTTTCGGAGTCATTTTTAATTACGTGTGTGTGTGTGCGCGTGTGCGTGTGCTGCATGGCATGTGCATGACTGTACAGGTGCACATGGAGTCTAGTAGAAGGAATCGGATCCCTGGAGCTAGGCACTGGGAACTCAGTTAAGGTCCCCTGGAAGAGCAGCAAGCCCTTTACCTGCTGAGCCACCTTTCCAGCTCCGCAAAAGGTGATTTTCATTAACAGAGAGCTGGGCCTGTTTTCTTAAGACCCAGTCCAGAAGAGAAGTCATTGAGTTTTACTTCCATTCTGTTGAGTCATGGATCTTGGCTAAGAATGGGCTTTCCTGTATCCTTTCAGTGCATGTCTTTAAGAAGGACTTCAATGTGTCTATGGGATTCCCGAGGAAAGGGGCTTCAAGTGTCAGCAATAATGTGAGGACCATTGATTAGGCCAGATGGCCAGCGGTCATCTAACAGATGTGACAGTCGCTGTAGACTGATGATGCTGAAGACCGCTATAACCATGATCCGCCCCACTCATCTCTTTGACCTCCAGAGAAAAGGTGTGTCCAGACTCCATTTGTCATCTTGGCAAGATGAGAGCCATGATCGCTTTTGTCAAGGAAGGACCCGAATTTTCAGAATGAGATGTGGACTTGTGACACATCGCTGTGACCCTTCTGTTCTCACCGCTCACTTATCATGAGGCACATAAGTCGAAGGTTAACTGCTAATTACATACATGTGCTTGCAAAGCCCCAGAACTGGAGAACCAACCGTGTTGGGCCTTAGAGCAGTCAGAGTAGCACCCCTTCTCTCCCTACCCAGTATATAGGAAAGCAACAGGAGCCCAGTGTACTGCTGGCCTTTCCAGGCACAGTCAGGCAAGGGATGTGCTCGCAGTGAGTTCAGATGAGGCAAGGAGCTGGGCATCTGGTGGTAAGCATACGTTGTGTAAGTCTGGAATCTACACACTGGGAAAGGCACAGGTCCTATCCATCCTGTGAAGGTCTCCTAGATCCACAGAAGCCACGTAGGCCTACTTCACTTCAGTCCTGACCGCCAGTCAGTTTGTGAAAGAGGTCCTCATCGAGCGTTTCATTTTGGTCCTTGGATCGCGTGGACAGGAAAATGTAGCCCCCGATGTACTCGTGCACAATCTTGCAATCGGCACTTAGGCAGGTGAACGCGATGGAGACATTTTGGTCAAACTCGATTGCCACCTGGAAAAGTAAGCCATGGATAACCTTAAACCTTGACAAGGAAGGTCAAGAAAGCAGCTCTTAACGCTGGAGACAGTCCCCAAAACACCATGCAGAAAACGGGCTTTCTGAAGGATGCCTTGCCTCTTTGCGCCCCCTTGTGGTATTAGCTCTGATGCGCGTCTTTGCTCTTTTAGAGGTAAGAAAGTCCCAGTCACTCTGTGTGGAGGGGAAAGAAGCATTGTGGACTCTCTCTCTCTCTCTTTTTTTTTTTTTTTTTTTTTTTGTTGTTTGTTCATTTGCTTTTTAGAGACAGGGTTTCTCTGTGTAGCCTGGAACTCACTCTGTAGACTAGGCTAGCCTCAAACTCAGAAATCCGCTTGCCTCTGCCTTCCGAATGCTGGGATGAAGGGTGTGTGCTGGCTAGCTTTGTGGACGCTCTAACATGAGGTCTCACTGTGTGTAGCCTAGGCTGGAAGTCCTGAACTTGCAGCGATCCTCCTGACTCAGACTCCTGAGTTCTATGATTATAGGTGTGAGTCACCGTTGTGGAGTGCACATTCTTTAATGGAGAACAGAAGGCCTGCCTTAGTTGTCCAGCAGAGGCTGCCCGTTAGCATTTCCTACATGGACGTTATAAGGCCCATTCCCACCCTGGGAATTCCCCGCAGAAATTTAAAAACTAATGACGCTCAGTTCCCGCTCCTGGGCAGTAATATTAAAATGCTTTAAGATCTAGTTTCTGACCTTCATTCTATGCATGCGTGACCAGACAGGTAATCTTGCTGAGGGGAATCCAGCATTCTGAAAAGTAATGTGGGTCTCTCACTGTTCTCTCATGCTGCTGGTTCTCAAGTAGGAAAATGAGAATGTTAAAGGAGTAACGAAGATCGAGTCTTATGGGTTTATTTTGGTGTGCATTGGGGGTGTGTGTGGGTATGCGCGTACACCTGTGTGCACCCCTGTGGGGGCCAGAGGACAGGATCAAATGCTTTCCTCTCTACTGTCCCTTTAATACGGGGTCCCTCGTGGAACAAAAGCTCCATGTTTGAGCTAGCTTGGCTGTGCAGCAAGCTCCTGGGATGTCCTGACTTCACTCCTCAATGCTGGGGTTACGTGCGTTTATAGTCATGCCTAATGGTTTCCATGGATGCTGAGGATTGAAACCCAGGTCCCTTGTGCATGTACAGCATGCGCTCTTAACCACTGAGCCACCACACCATCCCCAAGACAGACTTTTATATCAGCAACAGCAAACTCTTCTGCATCATCAGCCGGATTCTAAGGCGCTTCTAACTTTATCTAGAATTTTCTATGATGTATGCTTGGCATTGGCCTAAATACAGTTCCTAGTATGTAAAGTGATGGCAGCCGTTATGCTGCTGTGGGCTCAAGAGCTCATCCCACGGGACAAGGCTTTTTGGGCATCTCTGAGTATCTCTGTTGTCCTCTTGGGCCTGGAATGTTCTCTGGGTAGGCAACTGAGCTGCTGGGTCCACAGGCAGGCTGAGCTCTTGGCAGTTAGAGGAAGCTTTCTTGGCTTTGTTTTGTGCAGGGTTTCATCTAAGGTGGTTTCTGCCAAGCAATCATTGTGCTAAACCATATATAATCCTAAGGTGAGTTCATGAAACGGAACAAGCTGTACAGCACTTTTATAATCTGCCTGCAGGAGAAGTCTTCACAGAGCTACGTCAGTTGGCAGCGTTACATGAATACCTTTGGGCCTAGATTTGCTAGGAAATGGCTCAGAAATGTATGCTAGCATTTCAAGAGGCTGTTACCACATGTTTCTGGCTCATGAGTACTAAATACAAAGGCAACTTAAAGAAACAGAGTAGGGCTGGAGAGATGGCTCAGAGGTTAAGAGCAGTGACTGTTCTTCCAGAGGTCCTGAGTTCAAGTCCCAGCAACCACATGGTGACTCACAACCATCTATGAAATCTGGTGTCCTCTTCTGACCTGCAGGTGTACATACAGGCATAACACCATATACATAATAAATAAAAAAATCTTTAAAAAGAGCAATGGAGATCTCTGAGGATGCATGCTTATGGGTCAGCCTGTATTATCAGACGCTCCCCGCCCTCACCTGCCGGATTTCCCAGTTGACGTTCCACTGCTTCATGTTGGCGAATCTCCACGTTGTAACTGGAATCCCGGTGACTGCGTCGATTCTAATCAACCTGTTGTAGGAAACTCCCAGAATGTCATCTTTCTTGCTTCCTTTAAATCTGGAAATGACAGTAGTAATTAGGAGAGCAACTGTTATTCACACATAACTTCTTTAAAATAACTTACCGTTGTTGTTTGTACACGTGATGTATATGTGTGGGTGCAGAGCACACATGTGAAGGTCAGAGGACAACTGTCTGGCATCAGTTCTGTGGGTTCCAGGGAACTCTGGCCACCAGGCCTGTACAGCTTTTACCTGCCAGGCCAGCTCTCTGCCCCCACATACAGTTTCTCAAAGGTGACCTTATGACATTTCTGAATTATCTCAGTAGAAAAGACAGTAAGCAATCTGCTTTGAGAGGAGGGCACTTTAGCTGATGCTCAGTTCCCACTCCTGGGCAGCAATATTAAAATACTTTAAGATGTTAGATCTAGTTTCTGACCTTCATGCTATGCATGTGTGCCCAGACGGTTAATATTGTTGAGGGCAACCCAGCATTCTGAAAAGTAGCGTGGGTCTCTCACTGCGCTGTCTATGGACACAATTTGGAGAACCGTACTTTATATGCTAGTCAGAGTCTTTGTACCAGTGCAGATTAACAATGTCGGTGTCCCGGACTATCGGGCTGAACTTGAACAAATTACATAACTCCATTTTCTTGTCTGTAAACTACAAGAAGGTAATAATGGATGAGACACACATGAGGCATTCAGAACCAGAATGATCTTTGGTGACCCACAGGAACAGTGTCTTTCTGGAAAGGCTGGGGGACACGATATATCTGTTTGCTAGGGCATCTGTCTGGAAACCCAAAACTCTATAAAGGCACACATGGGTCACATCGTGAGACACATAGCAGGGAGAGAAAGGACATGAAGGGAGGTCGCAGGTGGCACAGACTCAGGAGCTGAGATTCTCCTTTCGGTTTGGGACAGGTGGTTAGCCTAAAAGAACAAAATTTCCTTATAAAATCTCAACATTTCCTTCCCTATATTTAGCTGAGTTTCAGGGAGGGTTGAATCACTAGCAGAAGGTATGGAAGATTCTCAAGGGCAGCCAGAGTACTGGGGCCCTTTGTGAAATGGAAACACGCTAAAACAAGAAGAACTTGACATTCTGAGAACAGAGTAGGCTTCCGGGAAGCCGTCGATGGCTGAGGGGAAAGTGAAAGGCACACGGACCCCGGAATTACCTGACCAGGTAGTAGGTGAGGCCGAACTCCGGTAAGGACTGCCATGCCTGGATGAACTGTAGCTTGGCTTCCACCAGAGGCATCTGGGCCACGTTATGGTGAGCTTCCAGGATCCGGGCCGCCAGCTAAGCAGAAACGGGAGGCGTCAGTCCCTGCTTCACACTCGCGGATTACTTTCTAGTCATTCGCCTCGCTCTTGATCCCCAGTGAGAGCCGAAAGCACAGGGTGCCACTGAACTCTGCGCAGGTGGCCCATCCTATCCACTGACGACGTAGTTAATTCGCTTTCTCCCTTTGGCAGAGTTGTGAAAGTCACTGAGTAGGAGGAGGGCCAGCTCAGTCAACACACACACCCTTCTAAGGTCTGTGCATCTGGTTCTCTTTTCGTTGGTGATTCCACAGGAATAGGTTCACCTTGTGCCATCTCTAACCCACTCTATGGGAGCATAATTTTGTTCCTTTTTTTTTTTTAAAAAAAAGATTTATTTATTAATTATTTATACAGCATCTGCCTGCATGTATCCCTGCAGGCCAGAAGAGGGCACCAGACCTTATTACAGATGCTTGTGAGCCGCCATGTGGTTGCTGGGAATTGAACTCAGGACCTCTGAAAGTACGGTCAGTGTTCTTAACCTCTGAGCCGTCTCTCAGCCCCCCCCCCATAATTTTGTTCTTAATGGCTTTGTCCTTAATTAAGTTAAACTCTGAACTTTTATATTCAGTCAGCAGTAAAATAATCTCTAACAAAATCAACAGTAACTGTTCCATCGTCTACTTCCCAGGGCACTGTCAAATTTCTCCCTTAGCCTAATTTTCATGATGATGGTCTTAACTGAATGGAGTCCCTCCTTCTATTTTAGAGTGTTAATTCCTGCATATAAACAACCAAGCAGGTGAGAACCTGTTTAGACTTGTGCTTTTTTGCACAGCGAGGCGATACTAGACATTCCGGGTTCATATCCATGCTTTCGATACTGGAAGCCGCTGGAGGCGATGTGTTCCGGTTTTTCATCTTCAGAAACGAAAGGATGCTGAAGACCTCTGTCTGATAGGAGCTGTCTGCCATGGTTTTACCCTTTGATGCCAAGATGCAGGCTGCCATCCACCGGGCATATTGATCCTCCTGAAACAAAGGCGAGAGGGCTTAGAAGCAAGTTCACCAGGGGAACTACCTTGTCATAGACCAGCAGAGACTGGCTCCGTTGTCGATCTTAGCCAAAGGGGTGAGAGGCAACAGAGGCCTCGAGCTATGATACAAAACTATTGTTCTCAATCAAGGAAAGATGTGATGTGGCACAGGCTCTGAGTGACCGCCACCCACTGAGGGGAACACTCAGTAAGAGCTTTCAAAATGTGTTTTTTTTTTCCACCAGGAACTTTGTGTGCAAAAATGATGCGAGGAAACAAAGAAGTCCTGAGCAGTGCAGACAAATGAAGCCCCAAATTTCCCAAAAACTTCCTAGATACTATTTCCGCCTTCACACCGTGGTGACATACGTGACGAAGAGCACCCCTCTCCAGCCTTATGTATTATTTGTATCCTCATCTATTCTAGGTAAAAAAGATTCTAATTCTAAGGAGGCAATCAGGGCCTTGGATGGGATAGGAACCAGTCAGTGGTAGTTTCTGTTACTCTTCAACGCTTACACCAGACATCCTGAGACCCAGAAGAAAGTCAGCTCAAACTGAAATAAGGAGCCAAGCTTAGGTAGACCTGTAGTTCAGTAAGATGCAGCCAGTTACTATCAGCCTGGAACATCAGACTCTCCCACTGGACATTCAAACGCTTTCAGAACATCGGGGCAACACTACTTACATGTCTGTTCCAGAACAGCGGCTTGAGACACTACCTCTACGGGGCTGCTGTCTCCCACAGTTCTATAGAGAAGCCTTCGATTTTGCAGGGAGGTGAAAACATGGTTCACAATCACTCCTTTTCCCTTTCAGTACAAAACTCAGTACATCACATAGAGTATATAGTATTTACTATGGTGTAAGTGTTGGGTTGGGCAATTTAGCCTATGTGTAGGCTAATGTATGTTCTGAGCATGCCTGAGGTAGATTTAGCTGGGATCTTTGTAGGTTAGGTGTTTAAAGTGCAATTTTGACTGAACGATAATTTTAATTTGCTATGTGTTTATGGGATCGAGTCCATTATATGTACATCAACAAGCATCTGTGTGTTTTGCTCTTAGGATTCAATTTTTTTATTTATTCATTTATTTGTGTGTGTGTGTGTGTGTGTGTGTGTGTGTTGGGGGTGGGTGCATGTGTATCCTGATGTATGAGTGGAGGAGATCAAAAGACGACCTAGGGGAGCCAGCATTTTCCTTCAGCTGTTGAGTCCTGAGGATCGAACTCAGATCATCCTGTTTGGCAGCAGGCGCCTTTACTCACTGAGCCATCTCGCCAACCCCTGCTCTTTGTTTTAATCCAGAGGAACCGATGAGATTTCGTGGCTGTACTTACGTGGTCACACCTCAAATACACTTCGTTCATCCCATCGGCGACGGGGATTAGTAACTTGATTCCAAATTTTCTCCCGGCCACATTCACATCTGGTGCAATCTCACAGCCTGATGAACAAAAATCAGGTGGAAACTGAGGCCTGGAAAATCTGTTGTAAAAAATACCCCCGTACATCTGCAGCAAAGACTTGACCATAAGCCAAAGCCAGAGGAGCAGCCGATAACAATAATTTAAGGAACACTAAATAGGTTTATAAACAACATGGACAGAGAAAATGATTTTACTATTTTCTTTAAAAATCAATTGAATCCATTTAAAAGGATGATATTGGCTGTCTTGTAAAGAGAAATTATGTGTGTGTGTGTGTGTGTGTGTGTGTGTATGTATTTTGAGACAAGATCTCAACGTGTCCCAGGCTGGCTTTGAATTTGCCGTGTAGCTTAGACTGGCCTTGAATCCATAATCCTCCTGCCTCAGAGGAATGTTAACCCTCTCCCTCTCCTGGTATAAATAAAAAAATTAAAAGGGAGCAAAGCAGAAGCGAATCTCTGCTGCAGCGACGGCAGAGCTGAGGTCACTGGCTGATCAGATAACCCAGGAAGCAGAGACACCAATATGCTCCTAGTCACTTCCAGCAATTAGAATGCGCACTGAAGTAGCTAAGAATGAAACATAACATTTCTTGGCATTTCCTGTGTCCCCTCCCCCCATCTCTAGTGCTTAGGATCGAACCAGGGACCTTGCACAAATGTCCACGCTCTACCCTCAAGTCAAGCCCCAGCCTGGACACAACTATTTCTGAATCAGAAAGCCTAGCAGGCTGGGTGACAAGGGAGAGCACAGCACGGAGCCCACGAGATGCCCATGTTCCACAGAGGAGTCGCTGTGACAAGCAGCGAGGCTCAGAGTTCTCCTGGATCCCATTGGATGCCACAGCGAGGCGCCAAAAGCTCTTACCTCTAATGTTTAGCTTTTCTATTGGCTCTCCTTGTTCAAGTTCCTTATTTTTAAAGTAGGCTATAGACGTGTCCTTAAAGACAAACCAGTATTGCTTGAAACCTTTTAACATTAGCTTCTTGGGCCTGCAAATTAAAGTACAGCAAATGTTTAAATACCAGTCAGAACTGTAGAACACATTGCAAATATTCAGCAGAGTAAGGCCTTGGGATAACATAGTCTTTATATGTTACCAGGCATATGAAGATCATACGGATCAGACCCAGTGCTGTACCACTGAACTGCACCCCAGCCCACTAACATATTAAAGCAAGAAGTGAAATGTTGCTGTGTGATGCACAAATTAATGCAAAGGCCCGGAAGTCAGAAGTCAGACCTCTTGAGTCCATGTTCTTCCTCCACCACTGTGGGACTCCTAACAGTGGGAAGAGGCTATCTTCGACTCTTTTTCTGGCTTTTGGGACTCTGTTCCTCTTATTAGGTTACCTTGCGCAGACTTAATACAAAGGGGAGGTGCTTAGTCTTACTGCAGCTTGCTAAGCCATGTTTTGTTGATATCCATGGGAGGCCTGCCCTTTTCTGAATAGAAACCAAGGAGGAGAGGATGGGATGCGGGAGAGGGGAGATTGAAGGAGGACTTAGAGGAGGAAGAAAAAACTGAAGTCGTAATGTAAAATTAAAAAAAAAAATTTGCCTTGTGGTGGCAATGGGAGCCTTTAATCTTAGCACTCAGGAGGCAGAGGCAGGCAGACCTCTGTGAGTTCAAGGTCAGCCTGGTGTACAGAGAGAGTTCCAGGACAGCCAGGGCTGTTTATTTAAAACCTGCCTTAAAAAAACTAAACCAACCAACCAACCAACAACAACAACAACAACAAAAACCCATGAAGCTATTTTGGATACCTGCCTCCCTTATGAATGTGTAAGTACTTCCAGGCAGTAACACTGTATGACTAAAAACATTCTTAGATCTGCACAAAAATGTAAAGTGAGTAAAACATTAAGCCCATTTCAAGAGAGGAAGCTGTTACTTTCTCAAAGCCCAGTGGGTTTACCTCGGCTGCATTACTGAATCGTGACGCTGTGTAAGGGTTTGTCGAGACACAACTTTTAAATTCCAGCCTCACTGAAGTCAGGAAAGTCACTGAAGTCAGTCGCTTAGGAAAGTTAAGTAGAATATATGGAATTTTAATATTTTTAATAAGTATGCTTCAAACTCACTGCAGCTCTTGAATTAGGCGATATCCAACATGGAAATATATGTTACCATGTTTTAAAAGTGTTCAGACCTTTTTCCTTTCCTTTCCTTTCCTTTCCTTTCCTTTCCTTTCCTTTCCTT